AGTTTAGTTTAACTGGGGGAGAGGTGTAACACCCATAATTAGAAAGACCAAGAAAGGAAAGGAAAACGCTAAGTCAAAGGAGTCAACTCGTCGAGTCCATGAAGGAACTCGACGAGTCGGAGCGGGATCCGGGTCCTATATTAAGTGACCGACTCGGCGAGTCGGCAAGAGCACTTGACGAGTCATGTCTAAAGTGAAAAACCCTAAATCCGGGACTTTGTGCCCTATTTAAACGCCTAATTCTCTTCCCTAGGGTTCCTTTACAGCCCCTCTTACCCAGAACACCAAACCCTAGCCACTATATCTGTTTTTGGAGCAAGATCTAGCCTTGGAGAAGTAATTTTCCAACTTTGAAGAAGAAGAAGAAGAAGGAAAAGGAGTTGGGAGGTCCAAGGAGAAGCTTGTTGGTCCAGGATTAGCTTCTCAACCTTATCATTTCCTGGTAATAAAGCTCTCAACTTAGCTATTGTACTTTTAGATCTAGTTTGCCCCCAAATGGATGGTTTTGAGCTCAAAAACCATAAATTTGTAATGATGAAGCAGTTCTATCGGTTCTTATTGTAGATCTAGACATCCTTGAGCTCCAGGAGCTCAAGAAAGACATCTTTTGGTAGCCATGACCTTGTTCTAGCCCAATTAGCCTCCTTAATAGTTAATTTGTAGTGTTTTGGCTTCATTGCATCATAAACACATGTAAAGTTAGCAACTTTATGTGTTCAGATAGTCTTAGAAAACCAGATCTATTGTTTGGAGCAAAGGAGAAGCTCTATGACTCGAAATAATGGGAATGCATGTATGGACTCGACGAGTTTGGGAGATGACACGGCACCTCGGGCTAGATATCAGACTTGAGTCGCGTAGTAACTCGGCGAGTCACATGGGTAGACTCGGCGAGTTGTATGAAGATGGGCAGGAACTCGAAGAGGTGAAAGAACAACTCAGCGAGTCTGTTGAAGATTGCCTTAGACTCGGCGAGTCTGTTCTTGGACTCAGCGAGTCAGGTCGGGAAACCCCAAACCCTTCTAGTTAAGACTCGGATCAGTGAGTTGAGTGGAGACTCAGTGAGTTAAGCAGGATGGAACTCGGAGATCGTTAGACTCGACGAATCTTGGGGTGACTCGGCGAGTTGAGTCGCGTTCTAGGACTCGACGAGTCAACGAGCTGACTCGGCGAGTAGATTCAGTCTGGAGGGTTGACTTTGACCAGGACTTTGACTTTGACTAGAGTTGACTTAGTGTGACTATTGAAGGGTAGTTTGGGACTAAGTGTTATATTTGGTATTAGTAGATCGGGGAGTTTTTGGAGCAGCAGTTCGAGAGTTGTCTGATAGCAGTCAGAAGGGTATCAGCAAGAACTTCAACGGTGCAGGTGAGTTTCCTTCCAGTAGGAACGGTTCTAAGGCCACAATGCCGGCCCGCTTAGTTAGCAGTAGTTTCCGAACTTTGGTCCAATGCAGTAGTTAATATGTTTGATGTCTTCGTGGCTCAAACAGGATTTATGTGTTATGTGTTTCTAGTTACGACCCGATGTAATATGCAGTATATGTGTTAATGCTAGTTGATATGTTATGGTATGCTACGTTCAGTCAGATTCGGACTTCGGTCCGATGCAGTTAGTCTGGACTTCGGTCCGATGCAGGGGACAAGGTCCCAGACAGTTCCGGACTTTGGTCCGAAACAGGGGACAAGGTCCCATTCAGTTCCAAACTTCGGTCCAATGCAGGGGCAAGGCTCCAGTTAGTCCGGACTTCGGTCCGATGCAGGGGACAAGGTACCAGTCAGTTCCGGACTTCGGTCTGATGCAGGGGGCAAGGCCCTAGTTACTCCGGACCTCGGTGCGATGCAGTGCGCAAGGCCCAGTATGTGCTTTATTTGTCATTGTATGGTATGTGGTAGTTTGGGGAGCTCACTAAGCTTCATGCTTACGGTTTCATTTTTTGGTTTCATGTACTCAGTTTTCAAAAGAGGAGCTCGGAGAGATTGCAGTGCACACACCATAGTCAGTTAGTCTGGGGTTGTTTACTCTGATAAAAAGAATATGTTTTGAATTAATACTCTGAATTTATGTTATGACCGGTGATATGTTTTTATAAATATGATTTTAGTAATGTTTTAAAAGAAATTTTTTAGTCGTGATTTTTGGGTTGTTATAATTAGAGCTTCATAGAATATTTCTTCGTTTGCAACTTGTTTCTCCGTTGATTTGGCTGATTGTTTCAAGTATTTCCCAAGTTGCTGAAATGAAAAAGAGTCATCATTAAATCAAACATAACAGAAATAAACAAAAATAAAAGAAAGTTTTAGATTTTTTATTTTGTATTTGAGTAATACCTGAAAGCATTGGAGTTTTATTGCTGTAGAAACTGCAAGGTCAGATGAAAGTTCATTAGGTAATTGCTTTGGTCTGGTCATACCAACTAAGAAAAGGGGAAATAAGAAAAAGATGATTGATGTTGCTCTAATATATCCATTATTTGAAGTAAATATCACAAGCCATATGCTTTCTTCCTGCTTAATTTGGGAAAATGAATAGGGTTGGTGCAACTAATGCTTTCTTCCTTTTATAAATTAATGAGGCACTAAGCTAAAATTTGCAGTTATCTGGTCTCATTGTCAATGGAATGAGATACTTGAAGCAATAGCAAGTTTGAATGCCATACATAACCAAAGAAACATTTTATCAAACACTATATGATCATGAACAAATCGAACTTCACAACATATAAAACATTGTAAAAAAAAACCTCCGTATAAGCATCGATTGTGGCACCGAAGTTGTTCTTCATGAAACAGAGGTTACTTCATCTTTATTTGCCATCTATGTTTTCATGAATTCGTGTTATGCATGATTTCACATTAGTATTGGATTGAGGCCATCTAGTGTAGGAATTTGGAAAATTATAGAGATAGGAAGGTAAGATTAAACTAATATGCTTCTATAATAATTATATAACTATTATATTTTACATGCTCAAGATAGGATTAGAAGAGTCAAAGATAAGCCCTGAAATTGTTAATGTAATCTTTACGATTAGGTCAACACCCACCAACATGTTGCATGTAAACATCGAGTCAATACTATTATTTGAACAGCAAAAACAACAACTAACCAAAAGTGACCGATAACTACTTCCAAGAATGAAAAATAAAGCTTACACAGGTACAACACGAAGATGCAGAAGCAAAAATAAAAAAATATTAAATAAAAAGATGAAAAGAACTAAAGATATAGTAGCAGACGATGGATTTTGGTAGCCCTAACCTAAGCGGCGACAGCCGACAGTCAGCAAGTTGACCAATGATTATGGTGCTGCGTAAACATTGAACCTTTCGAGGACTTCTTACGTTGGACCGCCGAAAATAGTATTGAAGGCATCGTGATCGGGCGAGAGTCTAAGACTCTGTGAGAAGATAAAGCCCTAGAAAAGACATGTCAATGGAATGAAGCTGGAGACCATTGGTGGTGTTGCGTCATCTATGGCGGTGGGTTCAGCGGCATCAAGAAGAGAGAAGGGAAAGTAGAAGAAGGATATAAATTGGGAAAATGCAGGCTCAGTATGTAGGATACAAATTGATTTAGAAGGGGCACAAATCGATTTAAAGAAGATATGGTGGAGTAACTGGTGTATACTTCCAAAGTTCCAAGGAATGAAGTCGATGTTTGTTGAGAAGGTAACGCGTAATTGACAGCAATTTCATTTTTATTGGCTTGCACATTACATGTATCCATCAGTGAAAAGAGATAAATAAGAAAAAACAAAAGGGAAAATTAATATATATATATATATATATATATATATATATATATATATATATATATATATATATATATATATATATATATATATCAGCAAATCATATGAAAGTCTTGTTCATCAGGCACTTGTGAATTAGTATGTATATATAATATATGAGAGACAACATATTTTTGACAACACCATCACTATCACTTGGTCCGAAAATGGTGTTTGTCCAAAATATGTTTCAAAACTCAGTACTACAAAAAAGAATTAATACAATAGAAATTAAAAAATATATATATATCTAAAAGACGTTAATAATCCCATAAAGTAATATTCATGAATATATATATATATATATATATATATATATATATATATATATATAATATTAAAAATAATATTTATCAATATACAATAATCCAATAAAAAAGAAAATTAATTAAAAGAAATCAATACTCCAATAAAATAATATTATTAATATATTAAGTATTATATATTAAAAATAATATTTATTAATATATAATAACCCAATAAAAAGAATTAATCCAATAAGAAACTAAAAAATTAATTAAAAAAGTAATATATAATACTTCATTAAATTCAAAAATAAGATATACAGAAATAATCCTTATAATTTGGTAAAAAGACCCAATTGCAGAAATGATTGTTGAAGGTAAAATAATCATTTTAAAAAATTTAATAGTCAACGTGTTAAAGTTAATGATATAGAGACCAAATTCATATAAGGTATCCAAAATTAAACCACTCTGTACCCCCAAAATCTTCTTCGACAAAAACTACGTAATTTTGACAACTACGGGGACAATTTTTACAATTTTGTTATTGTATAATGTACAGATGAATATTTTTATTCCATTAATATTTAGAAAGAATAAAACTACAATGATGTATTATATCCTTTTATTTTGTCTCTAAATCCCGAATATTGCAAAAGTGGGACATCATCACCCATAAGAGACACGTCTTTTCTTCATTATATTCTACCAACCGGATAGTTTACACTTAATATCATTCATCAAAATATTTTATTTTCGTATTCTATAGCAGCATCACTTGCAAATACTAATAGTTTATGCAGAATTTTTTTTGTTTTGTTGTTGAAAGATTGAATAAATATACGTTCAAACAAGTAACGCGCGAAAAAGTCTCAAAACCTAGCTGTTTATGTTGATTGTAACACTTCATTTCTTGTCTTCATCATTATCCAGTTTTGTTTTATTTCTAATTTTTTTAGCCATAAACAACTAGGAGAACCTTCTTGTGTTGTATTTTCATGTTATCTATATAAAATTTCTTTTCAACTTTATTTTATTTTCAACTTCAAGATGATCTCCATAAAATACCTTTGTGTTCTTTTTGTATGTGGTTTAGGTTTCATTTCTTCGGTTACTTCAATCAGGAAGAGTTCTGGTGGAACTACTGATGGTTCTGAAACATGGGGATATGTTGAAGTTCGCCCACGTACGCATAATTTAGATTTACTTGGATTCATTACTAGCAAAAGTTCATGTTTTAATTTGAAATGTTGCTTTTGTTATAGGTGCACATATGTTTTGGTGGTTGTATAAGAGTCCTAATAAACCCAAACATCCAACCAATTCTTGGCCTACGATTCTATGGTTACAAGGAGGCCCGGTAAGTATCCATACATTAATTAAACTTGATACTGTTAATATTTCCAACAAAGAAATATAATGGTTAGTTTTACTATGGTCAATTAATTTAACTCCCATCTCACATAAGTAAATTAGATTTGTCGATCCAAAAGGAAATAATTTAACTACTAACATCTGGTTAATTTTATCTTTAAAAGAAATCTTAATCAAGAAATCAAGGAACATGAGGTTTTCTTTCATTAATTATGAGTTTTTACAATTTTTATCTTTTCTCTTTCCTTTCATTTCCCAAGTGTGCCACCATCGTATTTTTACCATTTTTTATCCGGACAGCAGTTAACGACAGTTAATAGTTAGTGGGACAAAAGGAAACATGCCCTTGTCACGGACTATTAGTGACCAAATAGTTTGTTCCCTACCACTTTTTGTCGCTAATGGACCCTTTTCATTCCAGGGTAGCTCCGGAGTTGGCTTTGGAAATTTCGGAGAACTTGGACCCTTAGATGTTGATCTAAAGCCACGAAACTCGACATGGCTTCAGAAGGCAGATCTTTTGTTTGTGGTATGTTTTGAGCTTCTTATTCATCACGAAATGTCTGAATATTGACACAACTTATCACATTAAGTCATGTCGTTGTTTAATTCCAGGATAGCCCTGTTGGGTCCGGGTATAGTTATGTGGAAGATAAGAGCTTGTTTGTCAAAACCGATGTAGAAGCAGCAATAGATGTTACGACATTGTTGAAGGTGATCTACAACACAAACAAGATCAAGGTTAAGAATCCACTTTACATTTTCGCGGAATCTTATGGAGGTAAATTTGCAGTCACCCTTGCACTTTCTGCCCTAAAAGCTATCGAAAAGGGGGAGCTCAAGATTAAACTTGGAGGTACTACATTTTCGAAAAATATTATATTCGCGTGATTCTCCTTTTTAACCATAATATATGGTGCTTCAAGAAAATTCTGAAAAGAGTATCAGACATAATTCATAGGTAGAAGCTTAAGTCATATGTACATAATGGTTTGAAAAGTCAATTCTAAAATTTTAATGCTGAAAACATCTAATCATGAAACAATTTGCTTTAAAATCGTTCATTATATCAATGTTTAATTAGTTTTTTTTTATCAAAATTGACTCTATTTGCAACTAAAAGTCATGTATAATTGTTTGAAAACTCAAACAAATGAAGCTAATTAGTGTTACTCGTGTGAGGATATAGGTGTTGCATTGGGCGATAGTTGGATTTCTCCAGAAGATTATGTGGTAAGTCGAGCACATTTTCGTCGTAAATATTGGTGTGTGACTTCTAGCTGTTCGTATAAACCGAACGACCAAATTTTGCAGCTTTCATGGGGTCCATTACTTAAGGATATGTCAAGAATTGGTGATGTTGCTTTCAACCAATCAACAAGGTTCAAAATCACCTGATCCATGTTGCTTTAAAAAGTGTCGCGAAAGCATCTGAACTTCATTTTTCTCGTGCAGTTTAGCTCTAAAGATTCAGCAGCAGATAGCAAACGGACAGTATGTTAATGCGACAGATTCATGGGCTGAGCTCGAGGAGGTCCTTATTGATAGCAGCAACGGTGTGGTAAGTTAGGGATCTAATACTGTTTGATTTTTCTTTAGCGACACATAATATTTAGTGCCAAATGTTATTTTTTAAGGATTTCTACAACTTCATGTTGGATATGAGGAACGATCCAAATATTCTGACAACAAAAAAATCGAAAAGATTTGAAAATAAGCCTTATGCCTTGGTTTCTGAAGCCGATGGAAATGACCTGGATTCCGTCATGAATGGTCCAATTAGAGAAAAACTAAAGATTATTCCCACTCACGTAGAGTAAGCTCTTAAAACTACTAAAAATGTGTTTTTTTTAATGATTTTTATACTTATAAATTATGAAAAGATATTACATATATAATTATGGAAAAAAAAAAAAAACACGGCTAAATTGTTATATAACCCTTACGAAGTTTATATTTGACATTGCCATATAAAATTAAAATAAATTAATTAACTCAAAAAATAATAAATATTTAAAATGTAAATATAGGTAGGAGTAGTAAAATGAAGGGATAATTTTATATATACCCTTTATTGAAATAATAAGTGTACGAAACATAAAAGATTAATCAAATAATAAATAGCAAATAAGAATGATCAAAAAGTTATTCTCCTATAAGCCTTTAAACATTCCCACTAGTATGTTCAAAGTATCACATTGATGATCATCGATCTCTTTTAGATGGGGAGGGCAAAGTAGCGATGTGTTTACGGCCATGGAAGGAGACTTCATGAAACCGAGAATCGAAGAGGTAAAGCTTTTAAGATATTCAAATACAGCGACACTATTTTTGCACAACCATATTTGCAATGCCCTAGCGTTGCAAATGATTCATCTTTTTGCAATAGTCATTAGCCTTATATGCTCAAAGTACTCATAGATATATGGTTTTACAGGTTGATGAGCTTTTGTCGAAGGGTGTAAATGTGACAATATACAACGGTCAGGTGAGAAAATCTTGCCAAATTTGAATTAACTTAGCCGATTCAATGAATTACATTTTTGTAACTTTTTTGTGACAGATTGATCTAATTTGTTCAACCAAGGGAACAGAAGCGTGGATCAAAAAACTCAAGTAATTATTTGTGTACCATGTTTCTGGTGTTTCAATTTAAATGGTATGTAAATATTCGACTAGTGGTTGCTAAGATGTTGGCTTGTTTTATTGTTAGATGGGATGGTTTGTCGACATACTTGAACATTCATAGGACTCCATTATACTGTGGTGAAGATAAAAGCACCACAAAAGGATTCTTTAAGTCATATGAGAACCTTGCCTTCTACTGGATTCTTGGAGCCGGTCATTTTGTAAGTCTTTTATTTTCTCTTAATTTTTCTATATACTATAGTTGCACATCGGACCTTTTCATTAAGACATCATTTTTACACAAACTTATCTTTACATATTATATCCAACAAGTTTCATTTTAAATGTTATAACTTATAAGCAATTGGTAAAGTCGAGCTTCAAACTTTAGAAGTTTTTAAGACGTGGCTTAAAGATATCAACTTAGTGCTTGAAAATCCTAATTTGATGATAAGGTGCAACAGATTAGTTACGTATCAATGAAATATTTTAAAACCCACAATCCGTCGAAATCCATTGGAAATTAACGGAGGGATTTATGTGGAATTCTGTTTTATTAATATCTACATACATCGGAAATGTTATTAACATTTTTGGAAAAAAATTGCATCGTCTAGGACTTAAAGCTTGTGTCACATACACAAATATGCAATGCTTACCAATCGGCTTAATTCCTCACTAAAGCGTCCACTAGTTAATCTGTCACTAAGCAGTCCGTCGTAAAGCTGTTGTACTTGTCACAATATTTATCTGATGGAAATAGGTCACAACAGTTTACCCGCACATTTTTTCAAGATTATAATACATACAAAAATTACATTTTTCATTTTTAAACAATATAACTTACAAACATTGCAAAAGAATGAGTAGTTTATAACATCATTTTAGGCCAGAAGCTTGTTACAACATGTAATTTTATTGGCATATTTTACATATATTGTCACTAATTTGTTGTGGTGGTTCAGGTTCCCGTGGATCAGCCTTGTGTTTCTCTAGAGATGGTCAGTAGTATCGTGAATACACCCAAGCCAAAGCATAATCATTGATGTCTATGCACAGCGGAGATATTGCATTCTTGGATTTGTTCATAGTTTTACATGTCCACATGACACATGCCAAACTATAAACACCTTTATTGAAAGTAATTTATGATCATTCTCCATCACATCTATATTGAAAACCAATTTTGTAATCAACGTAATATTGTCATTTCCCATCCCTGCCACCTCTATCGAGAGTTAAAATAATTGTAACATTGTGTATCATTTACCATCATATCGTTAAACCATTTTTCATATTAAAAATCATATAAAAATATGTATAATAAACAACATACTCGTTTATAAATATTATATGGTTAAATAAATATAAAAAAGACTATATATAATCTCGTAAATTTCAATGACAATTTGGTGATTTCAATTCTAATATTATGTTTTAGGGGGTGTTTGGATTAGCTTTTTAGCTTATTGCTTATAGCTTATTTGTGGTGGAAATAAGCAATAAGCAATAAGTATGGGGAGGGATGCTTATTAAAATTAGCTTATTTAGCTTAATAAGCTGGATTTTATCCAAACACTCAAATTAGCTTATTGTGGGAATAAGCAATAAGAACCTCTTTTTTTCCTATCCAAACACCCCTTAGTCTTGTCGAATGTTATATAGACAACTTGCTTCTCTTCAAAAAAAAAAAAAAATGCTATATATACAACTAAAAAAAAGGTGCTATATATACAACTAGAAGAGAAGCTATGTCTCAAAAAAAAAAATCTAGTCTAATAAATAAAGATCGTTTTGCTATATATGTAGCATGTTACATTTTCATTCATTTTGCTACATATAATTTTATAGTTATTTTAAATTAATTTTTATTCCATATGTTAGTTTATTAAATTTTACATAGTATTTAAATATAATAATCAATACATATCAAGTATGCGGACCACCTCCGTAATCCTCTGTATCAAAAGAGGTGGAACAAACGGCTGCAGCCTATAATAAGAAGTATGTTTGTTTTTTAACATCTGCACACTGTTGCAGTAAACTGAAATTTAAATCAACTAAATATAGTTCTCAACACTGAAATATAAAAGAAGCTAATAGTTTTATTTTAGAAAAAAACTAATTGTAAAAAACATAAAAAGTAATAATAATAATAATAATAATAATAATAAATTAAGAAAGTATTTCCAATGATGTCTAAAAAATTCGTAAAAAATTACACACGTTAAAAAAGATGCAATTAAAATTGAAAATATTATTAATAGAAACTAGAAAAAAAAATTAATAAAATCAAAGTTTTTTTTAAATCAAGTTCAAAACATTTATGGAAACTATAAAAAAAAAATTGTATCAAATCTGTAAATAAAATTTATGATAACTCAAAAAAAGTATACATATATATAATTTTACTATGTTATTAAAATAATATGATGAGTGATTAATTATGAATAATTGAGTTTAATTAATAATAATAATGAGGTTTAATCATAAAACTCATCACCTTAAATAGAAGAAATAAATTCGAGCATTTGAAGGGTTTATAATGTCCAAGGCCTTAGGCATTATAAAGAGCTTGAGAAATCGAGCAGAAACCCCATTGAAATTGAAAGAATCGACTGAGATTCGAATGAAAAATCGAAGGTAGAAGGTTGTAAAAATTTTGGGAGTTCTCTAAAAATTAAGGTACGTTTGTTCGATTAAAGTTTGATATAATTGTTTAGATGAATTCATATACATGCAAAACATATTTTGGTTCAATCTCTTGTTTCAATTCGACCTAAGCACTAGTAATCTGATATTGATTTTTAGGGAAAATTTTCCAATAATAGTTTGAATCCATATTGTTTGGAGGATGATTTTGATACTTGTTTTCGGCCGGCATGTATATTTTATTTGTTATACCTAAAAAGAATTTATATTTTTACAAGGGTAAATTACACCGTTGGTCCCTCGTGCACATGCCAGAAAGCATGTTTAGTCCCTATTTCCAAAATTTAACTCGTGCAGTCCCTCGTTGTTATTTATCTTGCATGGTTAGTCCCTATGCACGTTAACTGTTAACTCCTTCCGTTTAAGCCACCCACGTGCCTTGCACGCAGGGGCATTTTCGTCTTTTGCTTGAATTCGAAAACCCTTACTTTCCCTGAATCGGGAGAAGATAATCATTCACAGAAATGGTATTTTGATTACTTAGAATATTTTCGATTCGGGTCTACAAGTTCTCGAAGAACGCGCAGGTTAGCAGAGGCAAATTCCCCTTCTCCTTCTCCGGCTCCGTCTCCGACTCCGTCAGCTGCACCAGCTGAAGCTCCGACAATCCGGAGACCTCCAACTCCTCCATTTTTTCCGGCGGAGCCTCTTGACCCTAGTTCCGGTACAACTGGACAAGCGCCGCCGGTGAATTCTTTTGGAAACACAGAGTCGAATAATGGGAAGAATGACGATACACATAAAAAGATTATTATTGCGGTGGTTGTTACTGCTACGACGACGTTTTTTCTCGCCGGATTAATGTTTTGTTGTTATACAAGAGGTTGGGGTAAACGCCGACAAAACGATGAAAGGCCTCTTCTGAGTTTGAGTTTGAGCGATTATTCTATTAATGGTGTTAATCTTTCAGATGGGTCGTATAAACCCTCGTACAATTTGAATTCATCTGTTCATAATATTGGAAATTCCGGCGATGAATTAGTGTATGGAAATTCAAATGTGAAAATGGATTCCAGTATTCCGGTCGGTATTCCGTTACGACCTCCGCCTGGTAGGGTGGAGTCGTCGTTACAACCGCCGCCTGGAAGGGTTGAGTCTTCTAAACGGTTGTCTGCGAATGCAGCTCCGGCACCTCCACCTCCAATGCCTCCTGCTGCTACACCTCCACCGCCTCCTCCTCCATCTAAAGGAGCAGGACCACCGCCGCCTCCACTTAAAGGACCAGGACCACCGCCGCCGCCACCTAAGCCTCCTGCTCCACGTCCTCCTCCTCCTCCGAGTGGGGGTCCACCTCCGCCACGACCGCCTGTTTCAATACAAACCCTGAAAAGACGAAAATGCCCCTACGTGCAAGGCACGTGGGTGGCTTAAACGGAAGGAGTTAACAGTTAACGTGCATAGGGACTAACCATGCAAGATAAATAACAACGAGGGACTGCACGAGTTAAATTTTGGAAATAGGGACTAAACATGCTTTCTGGCATGTGCACGAGGGACCAACGGTGTAATTTACCCTTTTTACAAAGATTAATTTAGTTGGTCAACTTAGAAAAAATGGATGGTGAAAGTAGGAGACCCACTATAACACTTTTGCCTCCAACGTTATTTATTATTTTCATTTTTTCGAAAGTATAGTTTTAGTCCTTGAATTTTCAGTATTATTCATATTCAAGGAAAATAAAATATTTCAATTTTAGCCTTTGAACTTTAATAATTTGGTATTTTTCAAAAAGTTCTAGAAAATATTAAATTTTACTTTAAACCTACATTTTTATATTTGTCGTGTAAACATGTTTTCTTGGAAATTTTATATAACGCTTTAAAATATATTTACTTTAGAGTATTATTTTTTAAGAAGAAATATTATTTTCAAAAACGTTGTTATAAACATTGTAATTAACGTAAATTTATATTTATTCGTCGAATGAGACATATGGATGGTTTAACCGAAATAAACACATGTAATAATTTTCTAGGATGGTTGCCTTAGAAAAAAAAAATTGTTGGTGGAATATAGGGTATGTGTAGCACAACAAGATTCGGTTAAATCCTAACAATAGCAAGGTAAGGGTTTTTTTTTTTTCGTGTTTTGTGGTTGCTCGCAAATAAATGTTTACAATGTAGTTTATATGCGTTTTTTTCATTATTTATTAAGAGTATGTTTTATGATAAGTATGGTTATGTGCAAATTTTATTTTAAGTTGTTCATCTATTGTGCGTTTTTTTGGGTGACATGTTTAGTGGGAACGGGTGGGTGTTTAATCGCCATGAGTATGACGGATATGTGTGATCGGCGAGGATGAGAATTGAGAATCATACTTATTTCCTTGGATATTTAAAATATTTTAGTACAATGGATGGTGAGTTGTCTCAAGGAGAAGGGAAATGAACATTCCGTTCTTTCTATGGATAATTAATCATTTCTCTAAATTATGTCGTCGAGTGATATGTTTTGTTATATGATTTATTGAACATATATGATAAAACTATTTTTTTCAAGTGATCGACATGTATGTGTAACACGAACTCACTAGGTCGTAGATTTACCCTTTTAGAAACTTTAAATGTATGCAACCCAAAAAACTATTTAGCACGTGTAAGTAGGAAGGCCAAGGAGAAGGATTTATCAACAAGACAACAAAGAAGTTCCGGAAAGACGTAACACCCGAAGTTGTTCAATTAAATATTTTATTTTATTTTATTTTGTCTTCGCTGCAGTTTAGTCTATAAGTAAGTTCAGAATTGATCTTGGGAGATTTTGGAACGATTATTTTCCATTTAATCGATATTTGAAAATTGGGGTGTTGCAAAAATTTAATGAAATTAAAGTTTTTTAAAAAAATAAAAGCTTAAAAAAAATAAGTTATACCAAAATACTAAAAAAAACACTTGGAAAAAATGAAAGTTGAAGAGGTTTGAAGAGGCAAGTCAAGTGTTGCGTCATGCATCACAAGCGCAAAGATTGTGTAGTCTGAAGCATTCCAAAAAAACAAACTGCTGTAAGAGGGAAAATGTTGGACGTGTGCTGCGTCACGCAGTAAAAAGTGGTTTGAGGAGGTTTTTTTTTAGAAAAAAAACAAATAGCACCTAAATTAAAGCTTCATTAGTTTCCTTTTTTTATATAAATTATTTTTTAAAATTTAAAAGAGAAGAAAAAATAATTTATCTTTTATAATTCGATATTTTTCTCATTTTTCTTATAAAATCAAACTTCTCAAATGTTTAGAATTTTGTATTTAATTTTTTTATTAAATAAACTCATGTAATACATAGATCTCACACCTATTATGTTATATAGACAAGTACAAAAGAAGATATGTCTATGTAAACACGGACTCGGAGATATTGATGTAAAAAATAGGTGGTTTAATTGCACTTATAATTTACTGGATAATTATTATAGTTTAGTGCTTGCAGACCTACTACAATATTTGCTCTAGTATATTGTATTCATTTTTACTATTTCTCAACCTATTGTCAAAGAAACAAATGCGATAATATATTTGGTGTAACCTTATTCGAATTAGGTTTTGCACTGGATGTAACATATGTTCAATAAATGTACAAAAACTAGCATATGTTCGACGTACTAGGCTAAACATATGTTTCAAGAAAATATATTCTATACCATAGCGTTTAACTTTAGTATTGTGGGTCCTCTTGAACTTGACTTGGTAGTTGAATATGGTTGACGTAGAGTTAACAATCTTTGTTAAGTTTCTTTAAACATGAAAAATGCATTATATTAATGATTCAGATAGCGACACTACAAATTATCTTCATAATCTTCATCAACATTGTCACACCCCCGAATCGGACGACGGAAACGTCCGAGGGCTCTTGTGACTCAAATTGAATACAATCACAATGAGTATATATGAATCGTAACATAATTCATCACCATGCATTGGAATATTACAACTGATATTGTTTACATTCAATACATTGTTTTAGACATTACAAATCCATAACATAAACAGTCTGACAGATAATTTAAGCAAAACACCATGACATTTCTTGATACTTATTCTTCGGCTTACCTGTTACCTGAGAATACAATTTATTTTGGAAAACGTCAACATATGAGATGTTGGTGAGTTCATAAGTAATGTTATGGTAAAATGATTTGGTGAAATTTGAAAAACCCAGAAAATCCGATATTTTCCAGGAAAAAAAATGTTTATTTATAAAAAGTGTGAAGATCCGTAAATATGCTTATTGATTTTCAAAGCATGTTTAATGGTTGAACTTTGTATACGTCACACAAGTGACAATGTTGAACTTCCCGGGAAAACCCGATGTTTTCCCCAATACGTAAATTACATGACTTGTTTATTGTTATACCGATACGACGAATGTTTTGATTACCTAGGCGACATTGGATTAATTAGGGTTTGTGAGTCGTTACAATCACGCATTTAAAGAAATGACTAGTTTATAATTACAGATTACGAACGATCCTTAAGACGTTGTCCGTACTACTCACTTAATCCAAGCACCTTGATTTCTCCTGATTAACGCCATGAATTTGTTTACTTGATTTCTCATAAGCCCAACAACTGAGGAAAAAGGAGGGTACGAAGCCCCCTTTATTTCTAGGAGTTATTCAAGGCTATCGGGAATGCGAAAGACAATTGGCCCAACTCGCATTTGACTTCTCGACCTCACTAGCAGTACTAATGGGCCATTAGGTCCCGATAACACATTAGAGCTATTGAAAGTCCTTTTACGTGGAATTGGGTCATAGAAGGCCCAATATCACGTAAGCAATAATCCCTTTGGGCCCAAAGATCATGTTGATGGGATAGCAAGGGCCAACAAGCATGATTTGAAACTTTCAAGCCCAAAGTTTGTATATTGACTCATTGTAATTATCGCGTGATTAACGAATTACTTTGGTTTAACGATTTTGTGTTGTTATTGATTCGAGACCGAATCAATTCGTTTTATAACGATATGTGTTATTGAGAGTGTATTTGTTTTCCATTTCGTCGGTAGTCGCGGATCTTGTATCTAGATTTGATTTGTTTGTAAGTAAAGTTTGACCCTTTTCATTACTCTTCCTTTTATAAAAATAACACTTTTGGTCCTTTTATATAAAAGAATTTCATTTTTAGTCCTTAAAACACTTTTCTTGACACTTTTGTATAATTTATTTGATGAGAACACGATTTTAATCCAAAGTTTATTTATTTGACAGCTTCAGCCCCTCTAGAATAGTGATTCTCGGTTAAGGATCCATTTTTCACAACTTTTACAGTTTTGGCACAAAATCTAAAAAGTTTGCATTTTTAGTCCTTTTTGATAATGAAAAGCATTTTTGAACCTTATAAACATTCTATTATGCTAATTACTCACTGTTTTATAGAAAATTTCATTTCCAGCCCTTCAACTTGTAAAATTTTCGCATTTTGAGGCTTATTGGGCCGAAAAGCCCAAAATTAGCCTATTAGGTTAAAAATTTACATTTTAAGTCCTTAGAAATTTCTAAAAATTATGAAAATATTTATGGAAACTGTTTTGGCCCCTTTTAACCTTCCAGAAACCATGACTTGTTGATTTTTACCCTAAGTATTTTAATATATTAAGGCCCAAAAATGGGTCTCATGTTCAAGTATGTTCATCCTAACCTTATAAACTATTTTTCTTGACTTGATTAGTGTATAATAGCTTAAGTTATGTTTATTTCCTTTTTCATGTCTTAGATCTAGGTTTTTACACGCGTTTTGATAACATATTCATCCCAAAACACATGATAACACACACATACATGCATCAAATCACACATAGCATACATTTACACATAGATCTACACATTTTCTTGTATTCTCCCCCATAAAGCTCATAAAAACCGAAAAGGAAGGGGTATGAAACTCACCTTGAGTTGTGATTTCGGTTTTAAAGAATGTTGGGAGGAGTTTGGTGTTACTTTCGGCCCTAGCAAGCCCTCCTTTGTTGATTTCAAACTTGGAGGGTTTCTAAGAGAGTGATCATGATTTTGCATCGTTTAGGAAGAGATTTTTGATAAAACAAAGAATCTAGATCATAGATCCAAGCATGATCTTACCTTAGATGAAGAATTTGTGGGATAATTTCCTTGAAAGCTCCCTAGATCTCGAAAATTTTGGAGAGGAATGGAGAGAGTTTCTTTGAGAGATTTTTTAGTGAAGTGTGTGTGTGTTGGTGTTGTTTCATTCGAGAGAAAGAGAGAGGAGAAGAGAGAGGTCTTGAGGTGATGTGTGCATGGAGACATGGGATAAGTTGCATGGAAGACCATTATGTAAAAATGAGGTGGCCATGAGAAGTCAACTCCTCTTTTCATTTGGGTTTGGGCTGAGATTTAGAGAGGGAAAAGGAAAGAATTGGGTCCT